ATTTCCCCAACATTGCTTCGCCATGGGTATGCGAAGCGTACTTCGCGATCGCCGTACTCCGATGAATCCTGGTATCTTATCCCTCCACGTGCATACCTCCTTCCCAACGCGTCTTAGCCAACTGTGAGGCGTTCCGCGTATCTTTATCAACACCGAATCAGAGCGCGCGCCCAACTCAGGTGAGAATTCGACACGATATCGGAGGTTCCCACGATCATGGATTCGGTTCCTGTTCCTGCAGCGATTATCATCATGATGCCCAGATGAATGCCAGATTCGGTACAGTTGCTGGGTATGCGGCGTAACCGAATTATGGTACCGGCTCAACCGGATTAGGTCTGTGAGGGTGTATATAAGCTGTAGTTTCTCGATAGTTGAGGAGACACTAGGAAGCTTGTTACGCTGCTTCTACGTCCTTCACAACCTGCACATCAATTCTATAGCCAATCGTCGACATGCGCTTTTCTTTGAATGCCGCCCTTGCGGTAGCACTGGGCCTCGCCTCATCCTCGGATGCGCTCAAGATCCTCATGGGTAATGATGATGGATTTGGCAGTGGAAATTTGAGGGAACTATACAAGTTGCTTGTTGATGCCGGCCATGAGGGTAATTATTTCCATATTCTCTGACATGAAGTACTCAATGCTAATCCGTCATCAAGTGCTCGTCGTCGCGCCAGCGCAGCAACAGTCCGGCAAGGGCAGCACCGTCATCTGGGCAGAGTCAGCAAACCTCACGATTGCATCTCAGTACGACATCATCCCTGAAGGCGCACCAGCAGTCGGCAGAGATCCAAGTGACGAGAACATCTGGTACTACGACGGCACACCCGCGGCGTGTACCTTCGTCGCGCTCGACTACGTGCTCCCGCGTTACTACCCCGACTGGCATCAGACAGCCGATCTCTTCGTTGCCGGACCGAACTACGGCACAAACCTCGGTCCCTTCGTGATGCTCCTGAGTGGCACCGCAGGCTCAACTTTCGCTGCTGTATCGCGATCTATCCCCGGGATCGCCACCAGCGCAAGTAACAAGGCGGTGCCTTATTTCAACGTAACAAGCGCCTCGGACCCCGCCGCGTTGGCTGCCAAGGTCTCCTTCGAGGTAGTGAACGAGTTCATCAAGAACACACCAGAAGGACAGAAAGTGCTGCCTCTGGGTTATGGTGTCAACGTCAACATTCCCGATCTTGTCAACAGCACCATGCCCCCAGTAGTCAAGACGAGGCTCACAGGTGAGGCCAACACAGACGTGGCAGTCTACAACGAGACAAGCGGCCTCTTCACGTGGGACAACGTCGACCCCTTGGCTGCTGGAATCAATGCTGCGTACAACGGCGATACAAGCCTGCCGGGCGAGACTTGGGTCGTGGCTGGCGGCGGTGTTAGTGTGAGCGTGTTCACCACGGACTTCTCAGCGCCGAGCATTGAGTATACGGAGGCAGTTTATGGCAAGGCTGAGAGCCTGTTCAGTGCTGGTTCAAGTGTAAATGAGACGGGCTACAGCAAGAGGATGATCGAGGAGCGTATGCGCAAGAGGGGAGCCATGCTCAGCGGACGTGACGGCGGAGCATGAAGCTCGCGTTCCTCTGACCTGTTGTTAAGTAATCAATAAATAACGCTGATGGCTGAAGCCATGGAGCTGGGAGCCAATGCCCCACACCAACCGTTCCTGCCTCAAACACGGACCACGCTCAAACACCAACATAAGTAATCATCGCTTCTCAGCGCGCCGTTCTTTGCTGTCAAACCGCGGACGCCAAACTCCCTCTGGCAATGTGACAGGTACTGTACATGCTAAGCTTTTGCCAAGCTCATGCGCGGCGGTGCCTCAGTCGCAGGTTCTGACGTCCAAAGGGTTTCACAGCCTCGCCCTTCAGGAACGAACATTTCGCTCAGGCCTTGCAGGGTTGCGCGATCCATCGTTTGGCGACGCGCAACGTTTGTAACTTCCAGGCCGATTTCTCCTACTCGTGGGAAGATTCCACCAGGCGCTGAATCGATGTGTTTTGGTCGTCGGCGCATAGAGCCCCACGCCCGAGATCGTGTACCAGAATGGCGCCTGGAGAGGCGCTCAGGCGGAACAGCTCGGCATGAACGAAACCTCAGGATCGGAGATGCTGCTTTGGGTGTGTCTGGCCTACAGCTGCGCTTCGTCGAGCAACTTGTATAAGAACGCATTGCAAACCCGCCGTCTTAAGTTTCTTACTATCATCAAGCGTTTTCAATCATCTTCGAGTACTTTAAACATATCCAGCTTGACGCTGTAGATTCCATTCTCATACCCTCTTTTTACTACCGTAACAGCTGCGCTGTACTTACCATCACTTTTACTCTCTCTCGAATAATCTATACACACATATTCACCATGTACTTCCAATCTTTCGCCATCCTTTCGCTCGCTGCGTTCTCTGTCGCCGCACCTACTGCCAACAAGCGCGCAGTGGTTGCCCGCCAGGCCGGCCCAGTCCTCGCCGACACGACTTACAACGATATCTCGATCTCTGGCGGACAGGCTGGAAATGCGCAGGCAGAAGCTATGGCAGCCTTCTCGGCACTCGACTTGCAGAACCCAGGAAACATCGATCCGGCGGACCTCACTTTCCTCAATGAAGTCAACCAAGTCGCCAACGATGCTGAGAAGGAAGCCTTCAACCCAGCGGTGGAGGCTGCTACCGGCGATGAAGCCGATCAGATTCAGGTATGTGTTATTTTACATAGACTGCGCTGCAGACCTAACACTACTGCAGGCCGGAAAGATCAAGAACAAGGTCTTGAAGCTCATGGCCACTGTTATCAAGCTTCAGGCTCAGCAAGCCCAGGGAGATGACACGGTTGCCGACAAGCTTGCGGAGGAAATGACCAAGCTCCAAAACAACATCGATCAGGATACTGCGGCTGCTGGTCAGGTCTCTATTGCTGAGCCGTTCGATGCTACCATCTCTGGCGGAGGCAACTAAAGTGGAGGAGAGTGTTTGATTGCTGGACTGTCAATATCTGGAGCGTTTACCCTCACTCCTTGAAACATTCTTCTGCGCTGCGCCGATAAACACTGCTAGTTAATTGTTTAGCTATATGCAATTGCGATTGCAATTGCAAAAGTCACGTACCTTCACAACACCTTTGTTCAGTCGCCACTCCTTTAAAGTGCTCCCATCCTTCTCTTATGTCTTCTAATGTTTGATTGTATCATTTTTCAAAATGTCCCTAGGCACGGCGATGCTCGTTGGTGGCGTGAGTTCTGGAGTAGGGCTTGGCGGGCACCACCTGATGGCCGGAACTTGAAGAAGTGCCGAACGTGGAGCCTCGGAACGGCGTCGGCTTCGCGTCATGGCATGTTCGTCGACGTTAAATACTCTGGCTTTGACAACGGCGCACTGCACCTTGATACCCATTGATGTTCGCGTAGCATTTATTCTTCGTCTCGTGATCTTTGCGCATCATCTTTTGTCCTTGTGTCATTGGCCGTCTGCACACCATGTCGAAACTGTCGCCGACGCTCAAGTCGCTCATCAACGCCGCGCACTCGCGCCCAGGCCCCGTGCCAGCACCACCGAGAATCCAGGCTGTGTACAAACGGATAGAAGAAGAGGCCACAGAGCGCAAACTCGGGCGACCATCATGGCTGGGCATTTCCACGGCTGCAACCATGACGATGAACTCGCCCGAGTCCATGGTCGCCCTATACAACAGCTCGACTGCGTCCAGACCCGAGAGTGAAGGCGTTGCGACAGCGGAATTCATGCGCGAAATTGGCCTCAAGTGCATAGGCTTCAATGGCGTGAGTAGCTAGTCTTACCAGGCAAACAGCTTCGTTTACTAAGACACCATATAGATCCCGCGCACAATCAACATGCTCAACGCCTTCCGCGCCGAACTTCCTTCGTCCATCGCTTCCAAGTTAAACACCAAGCCTACGCGCTTCCCAGACCCCTCCAACGTCGAGCACATCAACAACCGCGGCCGCGCTCTCTGGAATGCCATCTACCGCCCATTAGAAACCAAACTCGAACACAAACTCGGCGAGGCACACCCTGATCTGCCCGTCTTCATCATCAACAGCGAATACGGCGGCCTCTTCACCGACCCTCCCCGCAAGGAAGGAGCGACTGTGGGCCGCATAACAACCAGCCTGATCGCCATCACATGTTTACGGGCACAACAAGGAGTTGGACCACAGGTGCTCAGTCATGTCTTTGGGCTGAGGAAGGCTTGGGAAGACGGCACCTGGAAACAAGAGCCCGAAGCGGGAGACGAGGAGGGGATTAAGTGGCTAGTCAGTGATGAGGGATGCACATGGGTGCTGGAGAAGGTCGATGAGCTTGTTGAAGCTCTCGGCGGTGGACAGGGAAGCACATTTGCGCCTGTTAAGTCCAAGTTATAGGATTGTGTTGAATATATTGAGAGATGACGAGATATGGTTTGGATATGGCCCAGGAGATTAAGCCGCCGTAAGACCCTTCTCTTCATCGCGTATTAACGAACGAAAGACCTCAATAAACCCTACACGCTACCATATTCAAATATCCGTCACCCGTCCGCGCGACCCGGTCGTTCGACAATACCGAGTTCCTGGTAGAAGTCGACCGGCTAATATCTCCATGCCTTCATAGTTCAGCCGATCCGCGCTTATCTCCAAGTCCTTCCCCGCTAACCATCCCGCAAAGCTTGAATTAAGCCCCACCTTCTCCGACATGTTGGTCTAGCGCATCGTTTCATTCGAAGGCTTACGTCCGAGACCCGAGGGATACTCACGCCACTCCGCAATATTGACGGGTTGGAGAGTACATTGTCCCTAGTGAGTTTACCCTAGCTCACACCGGCTGGGTAAATGAGAGGCGTGTCGTGATCATTGCGTCGTCATCAATAGGAATGCATTCGTGATTGTCTTGTTTTGTGTTAGAAGCTTCAGTTAGCAGATGAGGTTATGATGTATAAAAGAAGCTGCCTGAAGGGCTTTGATCAGGCGTTCATTGGCTTAGCTATTCGAACATAGCGACGATGGCGACAACATTTCTACTACCACTGCTCTATGCTGGTGGAGCTTGTGCTCAGTATGTCCCCGTGCCGTGGGCATACACACAGAATGAGCCACCCGTTAAGGTCTCTGTTGACGCTACGGTTCGACATCAAACGATGATCGGAGGTGGCTGCTCAGGAGCCTTTGGTGTCGCCTGCGACCAGACCGGATCTCGAGGCCTCTCTCCTTCGAACCAGCAGCTCGTCAGCGACTATTTGTTCAATGAGAATCTCGGAGGTCTTTCTGTTTTGCGCAACCGCGTTGGCTCGAGCCCTACAGACGGCATCCTCGGCAGCTGTCCTACAAGCCCATCAGCACCGGCCAACTACTCAGGCTTGGGAACGAACGATTCCACCGCCGACAGTTGCCAGCTCAAGCTCACACAACAAGCTTTGACAGCCAACCCGGATCTGTTCATCTATGCAGACGCTTGGTCTGCTCCAGGCTGCTTCAAGACCGATGCCACAGACATCAACGGCGGACTCATCTGCGGCGTGCGCGGAACGAATTGCACCCACGACTGGCGACAAGCATATGCTGACTACCTTGTGGAGTACGTCAGATTGTATGAAGAGAAGGGTATCAACGTCAACCTGATTGGTGCTTACAACGAGCCCGATTTCAATCCCGTCACCTATGCTAGCATGGACTCCGACGGATACCAGGCTGCCGACTTCCTTAAAGTTCTCTATCCTACCGTCAAGAAGTATCGGGAAGACTTGAAGGTGTCCTGCTGTGACGCTACTGGTGCTCGTCAGGAACGTAACCTCCTTTATGAACTGGATCAAGCTGGTGGCGGCAAGATGTACGATGTCGCGACATGGCACAACTATCAGAGTATGCCTGAGCGACCTTTCAATACGCATGGTCAGCCAAACATGGAGACCGAGTGGTCAGACGGTAGCGGTCCGTTCAATACTACTTGGGATACCACGGGTCAGTTGGCGGAGGGTCTACAATGGGCGATCTACATGTAAGTCATAAACATTGCATTCCCTTTTGACACACCGAACTGACTCCACAAATAGGCATCAAGCCTTCGTATACAGCGACACATCCGGCTACCTCCACTGGTGGTGCGCACAAGACAACCCCGGAAACACCACCGGCAGCGACGCCATCCTCGTACGTCTGCGAGGTAACACCTTCGAAGTATCCCGCCGTCTCTGGGCCTTTGCCGGCTACTTCCGCTTCGCACGTCCGGGATCCGTTCGTATCGATGCTATCAGTCCTGCTGAGAATCTCAAGGTTACGGCGTTTGAGAACACGAATGGGACGCTGGCGATTCCGGTTATCAATGAGGCGCACTATGAGAGACAGGTTGAGGTTAGTATTAAGGGATGTAATCTCACGATGGGCGTTGCGAATGCGTATTTGGCGGATAATGAACATAATAATACGATGGTTGGGACGTATGGGGTTAATGGGTCGGTGTTTGTAGCTTCTGTTCCGCCGAGGAGTATGACTACTTTCTTCTTGGAGTAGGATAAGATCTTAGATGTCTCAATTCTAGCCTAATCCAATGATACTGTCCTCCTGCCAAATATGACTGGTCATGTCCCACAAAGTTATGAGAGATCATTTGCCTGATGTAGCGTTGAAGCAACCGTCTGAAGAGTAATTAACACGTCCTTCGACCGAACTGTGTTTGGGTGTGCCCCACAGGAGAGCTTGTATGGCGTGTGCGTAGTCTCGTCCACGCCCGTCTTGTGAGCGAAGATGGTGTGTATATCCCACCGGTCCCATGTGAGTATAAAGTGGTCCAAAAGCGATGATGAAATCGAACACGGAAGTGGAGCGAGACGGCCATCCGTTTGTCGTGCTCCGCAAACACTGTAGGCGCCTGTCAGCGCAACTTTCATCGCTCACTGCGGTACTACACCGCCGCTAGGCCCTTTTCGTGTATTTGCGACAAATTGCTTGCTCTGACCATCGCTAATTGCGCGCAAACGCGAAGCTCCATCAACTTTTCGTTGCTCAGTCCTCCTGTTTTCCCTCTTGTTCTACGCGCTGATCGACTCTGGCGTGCCGCGCAGCATCAAAGGACTACACCACACACGAAAGCTATAATGGGCGACTGTCAGAATACCACTGGCGCATGCACTGGAAACCCTCCTCCAACGATGACAACCCCAGATCTCCCTCCGCAGCCTAGCCGGGAATCTGCGCAAACTCCAAGCCAAGGATGTGCTCAAATGATCGTGCCTTTGGGCTTTGCAGCGCAGCTCCGAGCCGTACAGGAAGCGCAGCAGGAACAGGCAGAGCGCATCGCCAAGTTGGAGCAAGAGAACGCAGATCTCAAGGACTTCAAGGAGAGGATCATCGACATCGCTGACCGAGTTCAAGCTTTGGAGCAGCGCGAAGCCTATCGTGCCTCCAGACGCAGAGAGGCAGTCATTCTACTCAGTAATATGCGTACCCTGCATCAAGAAGCCGACAATGGATTCCAACAACGCACAGCGGACATGCAACCGGATGACCTCGAAGGACTGTTGGGCGCGTATGGCATCATGTTGACTACTGCAATGAACAACCACCAGCGCATGCTTGGCCAGATGCGTGCGAACGGCCAGTTTCCAGCGTACACAACACCAGTTCCGCAGACTCGACAAGTGCTTGCACCGGTGCAGCGGCTCCACGTCTATCCGCCGGCGTACTCAGAGCCTAGATTGTGTCATGCGCACAGCTTACCTTACTGCCGAGTGTGCGGTAAGTAGACGCCCAACCGTCTCGTTGTCTCGCGGTCGAGTTCTATTCCTGAAACTATCAGGAATTCGACACATCGATACCGGCGCTCCATGTATCTACCAAAAACTGGGGTTAAGGAGCCACTCTTCTTGAGAATGAATTGGGATCACAAGTTTACCTGATGAGGGAAACGGAGAGCTTGGCGTTGGCGGAGTTTGCTTTAGTCCATTTGTCTTGTGTTGGATCCATTCCCAGACTTGATTGTGAACCATCGAGGGTGCCGGCAGGGGCGCCATACAATATCGCGCTTCTGTATGTTTAGTATTCTGGGCGTTCAATGCTGCGGTGGGTACTGCTGAGATCTTGGTATCGGGAAGGGTATGCCGTGTCTGCTCACTTGCTTGATTCTGACTGCGTTCGAATTGTAGAATGTCATTGATCGAACCACGGGGCCTGATATCGCGATGAGTTTATGTTTATATATGTGAAGTAGTCAAGCGCGGAAGACGATAGCTGGATGCTGATGGAGAAGCAACGACGAGGTTTGAGAGCCTCACCTGGGCATGACGACACGCGACGCGTTCCGCTATTCCTGTTCGGGGTAGGCCTCGGCTTCCCAGCCTCCCGCACATGACGCGACACCGAGCGCGTTTCCTCAGCGGTACTTCGTCGCCATCATCTCTGCAGCTCTCTCCGCGATGCCGTAAATGGCTGTCTGGATATGCGCTGAGATGATCATCGGAATGACGCTCGCGTCCACTACCCTGAGATTATCTACGCCGTAAACCCTCAGTTCGGGGTCAACAACGCCACCGTCTTTCTTCGGCAACATCGCACAGGTTCCCAGTGGATGGTAGAAAGTGAAGACGTTGTTCCTGATGTACGTTTCCCACTCTGCGTCTGTTTCGGTGCTCATGCCAGGATCGAACTCGGATACCCACACATCTTTGAAGGGCGCGGTCATGGCCATCTTTCGTGTGTACTTCGCGGCCTGAATCAAAGCCTCTAGATCGTACGGCGTACCAAGATACCTCGGATCGATGAGGGGCTTGTTGGTTGGATCGGATCCGTTGATGTGGACTGATCCCCTAGAAAGCGGGTGCTGTACACCAGCCAGAAGCGTTGCATACTGCTTGCCGTAGCCAGCTGTGCCATTCTTCGGGTATCCGGTTGTTCCTATATAACCATCACTAAAGACGACCTCCAGATCTGGTGCTTCGGACCCCGGACCAGTGAGTAGTTCAAGCTTCTTTCGGTCGACAGGATTCGAGTGGTTCGCGGATTGCGTTGCCAGCTGGATGAGCTTGCTGTCGTCACCGAGAGCCTGCTTCCACTTCACGAAGCCGTAGCAGCTTCCGGCGTACTGGTAGAGCGAAGTACGGCCGCGCTTCCACAGATCTAACTCACTGGCCGCCAACGTCGTGTTATACTTTAGGATATCCACTCCGAGAATTTCGGGTTTGAGCTCATACGTGGTCTGAATGCGGAGATGGTCCTGTAGGTTCTCTCCGACGCCGGGAAGATCAACGATGTGCTCGACACCGGCGTTTTCCAACACGGACTTTTGACCTATCCCAGAAAGCTCCAAAATCTTTGGAGAAAGCAGGCTTCCGGCGGAAACAACTACCTCGCTCCTGGCCTGGATCAATGTGCCGTCCATGAGAATGACGCCAGTCGCCTTCGACCCATCCTCATCGAGTTGTATCTTTTGGACGGTAGTGTTGAACATGAAAACTAGGTTGTCGCCAGCTTCTGGAAGATAGTCCACGGAATAGGAGCGTGTGTGATTGGATATGCGATAGGTAGCCGGTTGATACATGACGCCAAGATTCGTTCCATTCAACGATTCGAGGTTCTCTTGCACGCCAAGATTGGTCAACGTTGGGATACAAGCCTGGAGTTGGGGCGGCGGATTCTCAGTTAGGGCGACTTGGATTGGGCCTCCATATCCAACACCATCGACGCCGTACTGTGGGGAGCCATTCTGTCGTTGGAAGTTTTCTGTTTTCAGCATGCTCGGATACATGTTTTCCCAGTTCCAACCTGGGTTCCCGAGCTCTTCCCAAGCATCGTATTCCTTGACAGTAGCACGATTCCAAACAAGCAGGTTCAGGGCTGAAGTACCACCGAGGACCTTGCCACGGTTATGGCCTATAGTCCGGTTGTTTGCTTCAGCTTGTGGCACAGTTGGAAGACTCCAATCGTACGAGGAACCAAAGGTCGAACCTCTCAGTCCAGGGATATAGATTCGTTGCTCGTCGCGTCCATCTGGTCCAGCTTCGATGACTAGAATACAATGGCTTGGAAGAGCCTCGCTGAGTCTCGTGGCAAGTGCAAGGCCGGCTGTTCCGCCTCCGATAATGACCTAGACAAAAGGTCAGCTCCGTCATAAATTCAATATTGCAGCCTGGAAAATACATACGAAGTCGAAGCTGCCATCGGATACCTGACATGTCTTCGCACTCGCTGCAGGTACGACACCCAGCACGACCGCGGAGAACAGAGCTGAGATGAGCCACATCGGTGCTCAGCGTCTTGTACACAACAGAATTCGATACGGTGGTACTCCTACGTAGTGGACGCCTTAGACGGGAAACCTGTAGGAATAAAGAAAGCGGGAGGCCTGCTGCATAAGATTCGGAAACACTGCACGACTGTCTGGAGCGAGCCTGCATTGCCCACTGTTCAGCTAGGCCCATTTGTACCCATCATTGGCCAACAAAGACGGCTCAGTATGCGCGTTACAGACACGGCAATCAATTGTGCTCAGATTGATCCTTCGGAGCACCGCTGCCGTGTCACGGAGATAGTCCACACAAGATGTCGATATTGTAAGGCGTCTTGTCTAGTCCGGGAAGGATTGTCTGACGAGATCTGTTTGACCCTCCAATTGGTCAACGCCTCGTATGAATACAGCCGGTATGCATGCGCCTGCATACCGCTCGCATGGATACGAATCCTTCCCTACGCCAAGGCGGGAAAACCGTTTGGTTCGATCCCCGGTAACGCTCTCCACGCCAGATACCTTGCATGCCCAAATCAGCAGCGTTACCGGGCTCGCCTCGCGAGCGCGATTGCTACACTCCCCATGTTTGCAGCCATGTCTTCCCATTGGCTACGCCGCCTGCTGATTGACCTCAAAACACCATAACACCGCCATTGCCATGTGTCGATATGGTCATGCTGAGCCGTCGTGCAATAGTACATCGAGATCCGTGAGCTCTCAAGCACAGGTAAACCGCCGGCGTCGCGGCTATGAACGGTACGAAGCGAGCCAACAAGAACGATTATTCCTAGTCGACCCCTGCAGCTGAGCGATTCTTCGGCCGCGCGGTGCGTTCCCAGCGTTGACCCAATCCTTTGAAAGCGAAGCTATTCGCCATACGAGGTTTCGCAATAGATCGGGGCGTAACTTTGGTGCAAAGTCCAAGCTCGTGCTTTATTAGTAGTTCTTGCGGAAAGCACTGTGGATTATGCGTCTACAGTTGCTGTCCAGAAGGATTCTATGCTGGTCTGGTCGTGCCACAAATAAATTACAAGTATCCCCATGACAGTGATTGTCTTGAATACATTTCCTTACTTGAAACTCAAGGGCCATTCCCGATGATCGCAGACAGAGGTCCGGCGTTGATCACCGTCTCGGTGCTATTTACAACAATTGCCTTCTTCACCACCATTCTACGGCTCTGGGTTCGCAGGAAACGCAGAGCCCTCGGCTGGGATGACCACACCATCGCAGTCGCGATGATACTCACGGTTCTTGAGGCCGCAATTACCATCAAGGCAGTGACGAGAGGCAAGGGAAAACCCAGTGCGTCGCTTTCCAAGAGCGACAAGGAATTCATCAACATGTACAGTTGGTACGCCCAACTTGTTATCTTTGCTGCTATGGCTTCGGTCAAGATCTCGGTCTGCCTGCTCATGACTCGAATCAAACACTCCAGCCAGATGAAATGGCTTGCTGGCTGCATCATCTCTGTTCTAGTTATTGCTGCCCTTGAGGTCATCATCGTTCTGTTGGCCCAATGTCAGCCTATTAGCCTTTACTGGTGTTCGGGACCAGGCACGTGTTGGCCTACGGAAGTACGAATCTACTCAATTTATGCACAAGCTGGTAAGGCCTACGAAAGCTATTACCTGATCTGAAAGCTTACTTGACACCTAGGCATATTGATCATCACCGATCTCATATGCTCCTTGCTTCCTATCATCATTACGCGGGATATCCAATTGCCCACAAGAAGGAAGGTATCGATTTGGGTGCTGATGGCTCTCGGACTGATCTGCACGGCATGTTCTGCTGTCAGGGCGAAAACACTTAATTCAAAAGCAAAGGATATTGCCTGTACGTGAAGATTGTCGTGCTGCAATAAAGCCGTACTAACTCAATTTGACTAGATGAGTACTCTGCTGTAGCCATTTGGGCCATGACTGAGTTATGCCTTGGTATCATAGCCACTAATCTCGCGCTCTCTCGATCTGTCTATCATTATTATTTTGGAAACATACCTCCATCTCCGAACAACAGCGGACCCAGCCATGTATACTGGCGGCCTGCGGAAAGAGAAAGCAGGAGCTCAAGCATGACCAACAACGGGGCGAGTGACATACCACTCAAACCAGTCGCTGGTGTTGAAGAAACATATGAGGTTGAGATGCATGCTTTTTGAACAGACACATAATATGATTTATTCAGATTTGGTTCACTCCCGCAACACACACGAGATACACGATGACTGAATCCGCCCATTAAATAATGAAAGGGATAAGAAAGAAGTCAGATTTGGATCGTTGCGTTTTCTATTTCGCAAGCGAATCCGACTCGGATACAGAAGCCTCAACGTCTCACGTACTACCACCAGCAGCCTGAGCAATAACCCTAGCCTCTTCCTTCGACAACCCAACAGTCTCCCCAGTTGGCCTCCTCAACCAAAGGCTCGCCCTCGAATCCCTCTCACGCCGCAAATCCTCCTCTGTCCACTCCCTCAAGCGCTCAGCAAATTCACCGGCCTCCTCACCATCCCGTGGT